AAAAAAACACTAAGGAACCGGATGCCTGGTTTTCCGCCCCACCCAGTTGGGCGTCCTCCTTCCTCCCCCCTCCCCACCGTTGCTCGGCGCTCGCGTAACTGGGATCGAGTCGATGGCCTCTTTGGGCCCCGCGTGGGAGGCCAGAACGATGCGGCACACCAACTCCGAGGGCTCCTTCAACAAGTCCGCCTCGGTCGGCGTCCGAAGGCCGAAGCCGGTCGGCGGAGGCTCGTGAAGCGGAGAATTTCGAAGCCGGGAGAGGTTCGGTGGAACGCCAGATATTCCAAAACACGTGGGATCCAGTTGGGTACCAACTTTTGGGTGGGGTCCGTTTGTTGGTTGGGATCCAACTTTTAGGGTAAAATCGTGTTATGTCGAAGCACAATTCTTGTACGGAAACACCACCCCCCACTCGCTTTAGCCTGGGGTCAACATTCTCGGTTGCTTTCTGCTCCCCTGCTAAAAGTTTACCTTTTAGTGGTTTAGTGGAAAGCCCATTAGTTGGCAAAAAGTTAAAGTCCAAACAGCCAAGCAAAATGCACCAAAGATTAGACCTGTTGACTTTCGGAACAGCACTCGCGCCACTCACAGCTCGTCCAGTTTAACAACATACAAGCTGTGCGAGCGACTTGTCTGGTCATGTCTGGTCTTGAACGTGATGCCAACAGTTTCCACAGTGCATAGCTGATCGGTGTTCCCAAGAATCAGCAGATGCTTGACACTAGAAGTCGTTGCGGCTTCAGGTTTCGTCCACACGCGCTTGGGATGGGTTGCTCAACTAGCAACGACTCCTAAAGGCGACACATGCGAGATGACCCCGGTGCAAAACCTATGATTCTTTGCAAGCTCCACTACATGTCAACACAAGACTGCGGATGCAAAACAGAAAACCGTCAGGCAACACCACTGGACCAGTGAACCAAGCTGGAACGCTCCCGCTCAGCGTCCTGCATAGAACTCCTTCAAGTTGTCGTTCCTTAGGCGTGTGACACAAGCGAAACAAGTATAACCAGGAGCCTCAAAAACCGATGAAAATGTCATACCTACAAAAAACACGATGTTTTTTGGGAAAACACGATGTTTTCGGGAAACACCGCATTTTCGATTTCAAGCAGTTTCCCATACATTCCTTCAACTCGTCATCCGTTCTCAAAAGATCTCAAAAGCATCATCTCAACCTCAGAATCTCCCATCGCCCTCCCATTTTGCACTCGTAACGAAATCAGCTTCGCATTCGCCACTCGTCTTTCGCAACTCCAATCTGAAAGAAGGAGGGCGGGGACCCAAATAGTCAAAAGTACCACGGTTTTATGACACTTGTCAAGCAGCAATGCCATGATGAGGGCGTGCTGGCTTCGAACAGCGCGCAAGCTCAAGCAAAGACCGTGCTTTTGCTCACGACTTCGTTGTTTTCCAGCAACATTCTCGAATTAGCGCATTCGTGGTTGAACCCGAAAAACCCATAGAATGTCCACGCTTTGCCACGCTTTACTACGGGTTCTCCACGGTTTAGCTACGGGTTAGAAAACACGATGTTTTCCAAAAACACGATGTTTTCGGTTGGGGCTGCGGGCTTTCTACGGGTTTCTACGGGTTTTCTATAGGTTTCTACGGGTTTTCTACGGGTTTCTGCGGTTAGCCGCCAGCATCCCGCCCCATTTTCTAAAAAAAAACTCAAAATTGATAAAAACAATCTCAAAAGTGTCACCTGGTCTTGTTTTGCACCAAAAGGAGCTTTCGGATTCCACCACCCCCTTCAAACTGGTTCGGTATGACCTGGCGCCAGTCTTCAGGTGCCTGTTGCTGTGAAAGGTACTTCAGGACTGAAGCCAGCTGCACACCCTGGCTGTCAGGCTCATCAATGTGGTCCTTAGAATTTGAAGCATACTCAGTATAGAGCGTTGCCCTCAGTTGAAATCTTAATGGGTGATGTCTGTGTGAATCCACTCCCGACCCTTGCCTTTGACCCTTTGCTCCAAATGAGTGTTTGGCCTCAGAAGCCCATTTTTAAGGGGTTTTATCAAAAACACAATGTTTTTCCTGAAAACACAATGTTTTCAGAAAATCGAGAAAAAACACGATGTTTTAGTCAGGGTACGACATTTTTACAGGTTCTTGAAGCCCTAGGAAATGGTTAGTAACCCTGCTTGGTGGGAACCTACAATGGCTTTGACCGGTTACCACGATTACTAGCCACTTAGCGATTCCTCGACCATCTAAGTAGGACTCATTCAGACCATGTCATGTTCTTTCTGACGCAATAAGCAGCTCGCTGGGGAAAAAAACATTTTTTCGTTCAAGCCCAGAGCCAAATTCAAACTGACCCAATAGAGCTGAGTCAACTTTGACACGGTGCTCGCGAGAGAGAGAAGCCCAGAGCATGGGCCAATGCTCGAGCTTGTGCCATCAAAACTCTGATTTTGTTATGGCCATGCCTCCCTCATCAGGAGTCCTTCTAATGGTTGTCTCAAGCCATGTCAAGCCGGTGCTCGTCTAAAATCCCAAAAAAGGGTCATTGACCACCCCTACTCACCAAGGTTGAGGTGTATGTTTAACGTATGTGACTTCCAAAAACGCCGACAAAGAGCGGCTGCCCGTGTTGAAAGCTCTTTCGGCTGAGAACTCCCACAACAAAAGCACACATGGTGGACATAGACTAATTATTCGGGCTGTTCCCAGAAAATCAAACCAAACAAGGGTCACAACAGGATCCCTTTCGTATGCGTTCGCTTGTTTGGGAGGTTGCTGTCTACGTGCGTACGTGCTTAGCTTCCGCAGCTGTCAGTGAGCAGTTCTTGAACTGTGGATTTGCATTTTGCTTCAATGCTTCTTGAGCTCCCACTGGCTCAAGGAAACGCCAACTGTTCGGGCACCGAGAAGCCCAAAATAAGCAAGCCAGTAGCTGGCCTGTCCCCATCAAAGAGGCATGATGGCATACGGATGGAGATGGCAGTTTTTCAGTTTCCTGGATGTCCGGAAATTCCATTTTAGTATCACCCATCCAAGGGAATTCGGTTCAACTTGACCTCAAACGAACAAGGGAAAGCATGACGAGCACATGCTCAAAGTGGGGCTCAAGGGATTGCAATGTACCCCTCGTTGTGGAACTTGACAGCGCGCTGCTAAGCTGAGTTGCCCAAAAGACCCTACAAAAACAATGTAAATGTTTGGGGCCATGACTACACATGGACCAAAGCGGGGGAACTAAAAGGACAGATCTGGTCGATTCGCTGCCGGTCAGTACGGGGAAAAGGCACCTTGATGGCTGAAGATCAGTTTTTGGGTGCATTTTGAACAGAATGCCAGGCGCCAGAAAGAATGGGATCAATTCCAATCCAGGTCGTATATACCCACATGGCTGTGGCTCAAAAAGCCGGTACCAAAATGGAACCCTGGTAAGTGGAAACATGGACCAAAACCTGCGTAACCCCTCCTGTTTAATGTTGAGCCACACCCAC